TGCTACTGCTGCTACGACTGCTACTGTTACTTCTTTTTGTAGCAGTTGCCGTAGTAGAAAACGAAGAAACAGCAAGGTATTGCACTGCAAATTCCACGAGCAAGATCGAGCAAGTATTTTGCTTGATTGTTGGAGGTAGAGACACTTGTTTTCCCAACACATACAGCCGGCTGGCACAGATTTGCTGATCTACAATATCTATGGAGACTTCCCCGCACGCCTCCCAGCAAGGAGACCGTCCGCTTCCTGAGTGGAAAGATCACGACAGTGTGTGGCAGAGGGGGGTGGCCTGCAGCTTGGACTTACAACAGGTACCTCTCTCTCTCTGTGGACATGTAGATTTCCTGGAATCTTCCTTTACTTCCATCCACGTGGTACCAGAAGCGGACTCAAGCCTCTCAACCGCCTCCGGCTATCAATGAATGGGTGCAGCTCGGTGGCATTGGCGCGCCGTCCGTCGCCGCGAGGCTGTTGAGCCGTCGCAAGAAGACAGAAAACCACTTGCAACTTCAGAAGAGCAGGTCCAGCCAATGGAAACTGCAGTGCAGATTGCTATCAGGTCATTGGTGGGTCCTGCAAGGACACATTGTCTGCAGGTATCTCAGGAAATACGGCAAAATAGACGCAGCTATGACAAGTGCACAGGAACACAAGCATGGATGTCCGAAGTTGATGCAGATGTACCGACGTCTATTGCCCTTTGAAATGCTCTCGTCTTATGTGAGCTGAGTAAGGTAGCAGCCTGAGATGATAGTTGTAAGTGTCCTGCTTGGCTGCATTGACAGCTCTGAACTTCTGAGCACTTGCTGCTTCATTTTTCTGGCTAAAGAATGGTCCGCTTTCGAAGTTGCTGCTGGGAACTGACTCAGCCGGTGCTTGCCGAATTGCCCGCCTTGCAGTTCGCAACCTATCATATTATGTTGCATGCGGCGAGTCTGTTCCCATCCTAAGCGGACCCGTAAGAGGGCACCTCTTGCCTTCCTTTTCCTACCATGGGGCTCTCCCTGGTAAGAAAAACATATCTCAAAAGTTTGCTGGCACGCAGTGCCTCCGATGCACCAAAGGCAGAAGCACAATGCTCGTGAATGATTTGCTTGCTCTGACAGCCTGAGAGAGCGGGTTTTCTTTGGTGCATCTCGGCATACTTGTGACGGAAGATCTTCAAACTGGTGCCGCAAACTGCGGGATACCATGGACCCGAAGGTTGATGTGTCTTATTTGCCAGCACGCGCGGCTTGCAGCAGCTGCCAATCCCGCAGCATGCAGAAGCACAAGCTCCACGGCCCAGTGTCGAGATGAAGCTCCTTGCTCACCTTCTCCATCACTGGCTTTGCCAGCTAGGTCAGGCAGGAAAACCCAAACGACACTGTGGCACCAAGGTCCTTGCTCGCAGCAAGCTCCTGCAGCTGCCCTGAAGTCCGAAGCCAAAGTTGCAACCTCTCAAACGATGTGACAGTGGAAATCAGGACAGCATCAGTGTGGAAGCTCATGTATGCACGACTCATTGAGGAGTGCAAAGCCATGGCACGAAAAAAAAGGTATATCGGGCTCTCCCTTACCCATTGACGGCGTATTCGGAACCATGAATCCGCGCAAGATTCTTCTCACCATCTTTTTTGTGCCATTTCTCCGCGGCAGTTTGAACACTGTTGATTTGCCAGCACGCAACGAATCTCAGCAATCTGCTGGTCAAGAGGTGCTGTGTGCACGTCCGATGCGTTCCTCACCACGTGTACAGGTCTGGCTTCATGGCAGCTTAGAACATCCTGCAATGGCCTTACTAAAGTTGTGCAAACCGTGCACACAGCACAGGTCTTGGTCTTGAAATGACCCTTCAACCTATGCTGGCACAAAGAGCCACACAAAGTTCGATTCGAAAGGAAAACGAAGCATCGCAAGCTGATGCCACGCACGAATTCCTCTAAAGCATGCACACCGGGTTAGGCACTCCAGTCTTCACCATGCTTCGAGAGATTTTAAGAGTGTTAAGATTAATTACGAAGCTACTGTGGCATAGTAGCTGACTTCAAACAACAGCTAGCCCCAAACAAAAGTGCACAATGCTAAAAACTGTTTAGGAGTTCAAGACGATTGGTTGGTAGGTTCCATGGGGTTAGTGCTGAACCTCAGCGACAAGCAGTGCAAAAATCAGGCACGACTTTTCATGTGGACCTGAGCAGGTCGTTCAGGTTTTCTCTCAGCTTGCATCCTGCTCTGCAATGCTCTGCATGAACGCGGGCTGCTGAGCCTTGAGCACGCCAGGTCAGGCCATAGTCAGCAAGGCGATATCTCGCGAGTCCCTGAAGGCAGCATGTCTAGTGGTGAATCTGAGGGGCCTTCTGCAGTATGCAAAGCTGCAAAGAAGGGAGAGAAGGCAAAGCACTGCAAAGCTGCAAAGCCCCCACAGCGCCACGGTCTCAAGGCCGAGGCGATCTGGGCACTGCGCGGCGGCGGAGAGCGAAGCCCACGAGGCCATCTTGGAAACACGCGAGCTCTCTTGACAAGATCTTTACTTCGACTTGTGCGGGCTTGCATATCTGCTTCATTCTGGCTTAGATGCTCAGAAAAAAGTGGAGTTCATGCGGGATGAACTCTCGTTGGCGCATCTAGGCTCCGCACATAGAGCACCCACCACGCAAACACCGGCAAGGAGCAGCTCACCAGAAACTGCCTCACATCTCTGCGATGCAGTTTCAAAAGCATCCTCCCTCTTTGCCACGTGTGCTGTACCGTCAGTAACTATGCTTTTCCAGTCTGGGCCCACCTTGGCCTTGGGCTCCTCGGCCCTGCAAAATTTCAGGAGTTGTTGTGCACACTGCCATCTCGCCACCACGTGGACCACGCGTTCTGTTCAAGCCATCCATCCAACAGGCCGAGCCTCTCGACCAAAGGTTCTGGAGCCTCCAGCGGGGTGCAACTAAAGCATGGGTAGAGGTTTCTCGAAGGTACAGCCCCTTGTGAAGTATGTCGTCTTGAAAGGCATATCTAAATCCGACGAGGCTGGAGGCCTGCAGCGGTTGAACACCTCGTCAGGTATGTGTTCCCACCCCATCGCGCTTCTTTGTTCAAGATTGTCAGTCATTTCCCAGTCTTTGTCTGGAGGTCTGGGTTGGCCGTTCGCCGGGGCACAGCCTGCCCCAGGTTCTGCGGCATGTCCCATAGCTTTTGGGTCCATTTTCCCTGCAAATGTATGCCCCCGCCCCCTCTTCCCCCCTCGTTTCTCCCCGCTCCTCTGTCGTCGTTTACCTTCCCATCCATGCCCAGCACTGACCCGTGCAGGCCCATTTCAAGCATGTCGAAGCTGAGCTCTTGAAAGCCACAGCATGGTTTCTTACGGAGTTCAGAGATTGGCCACATGAGCCTGGCGGACGGCAAGTGGCCGCAGAGGCAGCACTCGCGCCACTGATTACATGATCGCCGTCCGCTGACTTGGACAAGCACCCAGGCAATCATGGCCTGCTGAACTGCCGGCGCGCCGGGCGCCGCCATATCAGCTGCCTGTCCAGGTGAGAGAAGCAAGCACCCTGTCAACAAAAAATGGCGTGGACTCTCACGGTGAGCACATCAATATCAAAGGCACGGATACATGGATACCTCACTGTTTGGCTCTGATGGCATGGGAGAGCGAGGAGGCCTGCGAGATGACTCCCATCAGCAGAGCTCGTCGTTCTCCGGCGCGCCGCAGGGAAGCCTGGAAGGGAACAGCCCCAAAGAAAGGATAGCTCAAGCCTGCTGCAGTGCCTTAGATGCGCTCCGGGAGCCCAGGAGTGAAGGAATTTGATTTGAAATTGAAAGTAGGGACCAGCTATAGTGAGCCGACTCCCTGCAACCCCTCCCTGCAACCCCCTGGCAGCACGCTTCTCCCAGATCTGCCTCGGCGGTGTGCTGCGTGGCCTGACTGAGTGCTGCCGTCAAGGACCTTAGAATTGCGGATCAGAGGTCAGCCATCCACGTACTTTCATCTTTTCACCCTACGCATTGAGACTATCGTCCGGATCTGAGGCTAATGGTCCCCAAACTCCTGCTGCTCCACCAGAGCAAGAAGCATTACGCAGTAAGGATAAGAATCCGAACACCCAAGATGAGAATGCAGACTCGCCACTTCTCCAGCTGTGCTCCAGCCTCCTTCGCTTGCATGGCCAGCTGCGGGTTTTTTGCCTGCTCGAGACTCGAGGCGCATGTGGGAGAATCTGAGAGGAAGCCCCATGTTCCGAGTCGGCTCTACTTCTGCGAGGTATCACGCGTAGTAGTGAGCCCTGGGCATATACTAGTAGGGTCACTCCAATGACTTGAAACATGTTTCAAAGCAAGCAAAAAACGATCGTCTGCAAGTCTTGCGCCTGGCGCTCAATGCCAGCCACCCAGCCCTTTGCACCCTGCGCCAGGCCAGCAGTGAAAATGGCCACAGGAAACATAGTACTGTAGTTCAGAAGCAGTAGTGGTCTCCTCGCAAGGGAAGCCAACCAGGGAAACTTTGGCTTGCTACATCCCATTAAGTTTTCAGACACTTTCAGAATACCCCTCCTTTACCGTATGTTGCGGAGCATCGACGCCGCTAGGCAGATAGAGAATGCCCGTTGGGGTTTACACGATGTAACATAAGCCAAAAACCACCAAAACCTAAATAGAGTTTCCATTTCCTATAACCCCAACGTATTATAGTAGTTTC